CTGGGAGAGAAAGAAGTCTGAGGTGAAGCATCTCTTTGCCCCGAGAGAATGGGTGACCTGTAAAGACCTTTAAGGACATTGTCAAATAATCCTCAAGGACATGCGAAGGCTACATGGATAAAATGCAAATGAAAGCGTCACACCAAAGCCGCTAAGGAAATGATAAAAATTCAGTCTTTAACATAATGATCAAAGTGCAAACAAGTCAAAGCTGTTATTTTCTTCCCAATCAATTAGTATTGTCAAACAGACAAAACGGTCCCTCTAGACCAGCGGTTCTCAACCTGTGGCTGTGTTGACATAGGGACCTTTTAGGGTTGAACTTGACTCTTAGTTCAAAAGGTAAAACGCAAGTATAAAAGAATATAAGGGTAGTTTTAACAAAATGACCTTTTGTAATTCTAGAGTTATAAAAAGTGAACATGTTAGTGACTGCAAAGTAGTTCAGAAAATGAGAAACAACACCAATTTCAAAGGAGATTGATGGTTAACTACCACAGATTGATGGTTGCTACAGGCAAGGAAGTAAGGGATGGGTGAAATGGGTAAAGGGGATAAAAAAAGTACATGTTTCCCTGCCCAGTCAGCGTGGCTTAGTGGTTGAATGTCAACCTATGAACTAAGAGGTCAAGGTTCGTTTCCCAGTCAGGGTACATGCCCAGGTTGCAAGCTCAATCCTCAGTGTGGGGCGTGCAGGAGGCAGTCAATCAATGATTCTCTGTCATCACTGATGTTTCTACCTCTCCCTCTCCCTTCCTCTCTGAAATCACTATATATCTATATTTTAAAAGTACAAATTTCCAGTTATAAAATAAATAAGTCATGAGGATGTAATATATAGCATGTGACCACAGCCAGTAATACTGTATTGCATATTAGGAAGCTGCTAATAGAGTAGATCTTAAAAGTTCTCATCCCAAGAAAAAAATTTTTATAACTATGTGTGGTGACGGATATTAACTAGACTTACTGTGATGATCATTTCACAATATACACATTTATCAAATCATCTTGTATACCTGAAACTTAAATAATATGTCCATTAGACCTCAATGAAAAGAAAGGAGGAAACTAACATATTCTGGTTGTAGTAATTGTAGCATGTGTCCATCGAGTGTCTAAAGCAGGTCAGGAGCTGTTAAGGGCTTTACACACATAATCATTTGGTCTGAATTAAAGCCCTGGAAGGTAGGTGCTATTCTTATCCCCGTTTTTTGATGAGAAATGCTAAGCAAC